AAAATGTGGGTTTGTGTTTCCAATAACTTTTGATGCTAAAAAAATCATTACAGATATGTTGGAATGTCTTAAGAAGGAGAGGCCTCGTTTGCAGACACTTGGGGCACTTCAAGGGGGTCTCAAGGAGGAGGTGATGTCCAAAAAGTTCTTACTTATGCTGGATGATATTTGGGAGGAGGAGGATTAGAAGGATAAAAGCAATGGGAGGATGTGCTCGCCCCTCTAGCTTCTTAGGGTTTTGGTAGTAAGATTCTGGTAACAACTCGAATGGAATCAGTTGCTCTGATGTTTGCAAAAGTAATTAAAAAGGAGGAGAAAATAGTTAAATTAGAGGGCCTAGAGGAAGATGATTGTTTGCAGCTCCTCAACTCTCATGCATTTGCTGGTGTAGAGAATTCCCCTGATACAACAACAACAACAACGTCAAGCCTTTATCCCACTATGTGGGGTCGGCTACATGAATCCTTTTTCTCCATTGTGTCCTATTAAATGTCAAATTCTCGTTTAAATCTAATTAAAAATGGTCATTCCTAATATTTTCTAATTAAGTCTTTTTAGGTCTGCCTCTACCTCTCTTAACATAGGTCAAATCTAATAACTCTACGCTCCTAACCAGGTCATTGGAAGGCCACCGTTTTATGTGACCAAACCATCTAAGGCGACTCTCTCTAATCTTATATTCTACTGGAGCTACTCCAACCTTTTCACGTATATGCTCATTTCGTATCCTATCTTTAAGGGTAAAGCCACTCATCCACCTGAACATCCTCATCTCTGCCACACTTAACTTAGTATTATGCTTCTCTTTTAATCTCATCCACCATAGAGGACCCCCCTGATGATCATAAAAAATTAAGAGCCATTGCTGGAGAGATTGTTAAAAAGCTTTTAGGATCTCCTTTGGCAACTAAAGTCATTGGTGGTGTAAAGGAGAACTGGTGTGGAAACCTGCAAATAATGAGAGAAACTAACAGGGAAGAGGAGATAGTTAGGGGAACAAGAGATTTAGAGAGGAACAAGCAGTCCAGAGAGAGCGAGAAGAGGAAGAAAGGCAGGGGAGAACCCGTTTTCGGGAATACTATATCAGTAAAAACAGAACTATCGCCTCCAGTGAGGTATTTCCCTATCTATACTAAGAAGAAAGCTGACTAGGAAAAGTAATGCTGCCAAAAGTCTGTAAAATAACAGAAAGTAAAAAGAGCTAGTGGAGGCTGCTGCGGACGTGGCTAGGAATAATGGGACTAGGAATAGTCATCACATCAAGAACTTGGATCAAAGGCATTGGAGGTCAGTTCTAGAAAGCAATTTATTGTATCAGAATTCTATCCATTCCATCTTAAGACTGAGCTATATAGTTCTGCCAAATCATCTACAAAATTGTTTTGCATTTTGTTGAATGTTCCCACAAGACCATACGTTTGATAAAGATGATTTAGTCCGAATGTGGATTGCATTGGGTTTCATTCAGCCATCTCAAGGAATGACTATGGAGGATATCGGAGGAAGGTATTTTGATATTTTAGTCAAAAAAAATTTATTTGACAAGGTCGGAGATGACTACAAGATGCATGATTTAATACATGAGTAAGCATCAAAATTTTTTACACATGAATGCAGAAAACTTGTGGATGATGAAAAGTCATCTCTCGAAATTTCTGAGACTATTCGACACTTGTTTGTTCTAACTTCAAATTCAGACATTTTGAGAAAGATTGAGAAGTTTAAACATCTGCATTCTCTTTTCTTGTCGTATAAAGCTTTTAATGAGGATATTTACAGTGCACTTGTTGAAATGTTCAAAACATCAAGAAGCCTACGCTTATTATACGTATCTGCTCTAGACTTGAAAATGATACCTGAGGAGATTGAAAATTTGATACATCTATGATAGTTGAAGATCAAAAATGTTTTCTCACTTGATGTCACTAGTCTACCAATATCTCTGAGTAATCTCTATCACTTGCAATACATAATTACCTATAATTAATGGGAAATGTTAGGCCAATATGAAGTTGATGATTTTTTACGAAGTGACATTAATAACCTTTTTAACTTGCGTTACTTGAAATCGTCCAATAATTATATTTCATCGATATGTGGGATTGGGAAGCTAAACTTTCTTCAAGAGCTGGATATGATTGATTTTAGAAATGAGATGGGTTATAGAATTGGGGAGTTGGAGAATATGAATGATCTTTGCAAATTAGGAATCAATTGCCTTGAAAATGTTAAGGACGTCGAGGAGGCTTGTAGTGCCAATTTATGTGCCAAGAGGAGGCTCACAGATTTAACCTTATGTTGGAGTAACACTCATTTTAGGAACATCGATTTAGATGAGAACGTGCTCGACAACCTTCAACCACCAAAATGTCTAAGGAATCTGAGCATAAATAGATACATTGGTGCAAGGTCTGCAATATGGATGAACAATGCCAATCTGATCTCCAATCTAGAGAAAATCGAATTGACATATTGCAGGAAGTGGGAAACTCTTCCACCTTTTGGGCAACTTCCCTTCCTCAAGTCTCTAAAACTTGATGAGATGCCGAAAGTAAAATGGCTCGAAAGTAAATTTGATGGGAATGATAAATACCATGCCTTTCCATTGCTAGAGGTGTTATATATTTCCGGATTAGGAGCATTTGAGGATTGGTTTGAGGCAGGAGTAGCTGCTGAAGATGGATGTTTGTTTCCTTGCTTAATTGAACTGGAGCTATATCACTGCCCGAAGTTGAAAGAGTTGCCCTCTTTGCCTTCTAACCTCAAGAGCTTGAAGATAGGTAACATTGGATGGAAGACTTTGAATTTCTGTAGCATTTCAAATTCTATTCCCCTTGAAACATTAGAGGTTTTTTACTGTGAAAACATTACATCTCTTCCTCTGGCTGATGAAATAGCAAGACTTGCAGCACTAAGATACTTGCTAATTAAAAAGTGCCCCAATTTGATATCTCTCGGAAGATATCCACAAGTGGAGAACACTAACACTTGCCATCTCATACTCTGCGATCTCTGTATAAATGATCCATCGGTGTTGCTAATGGAGCCATTGAGAAGTATGACCTCGTTAAAAAGGCTTACTATTATGGATAATGTTGAGCTGGTTTCATTTCCAAATGAAGCGGATCAGTGGTTTCTGAAAGTTAGGTCCTCTCTTTCTGAGCTTCAATTTGCATTTCTATTTACATTTGATATGATATTATAAAAGATTATTATGCTTAAAGTTTAGTCATAATAATTTCAAATCTATTTGTGAGTTTAGTATTATATATTTTTGCTCAAAGCAAATCTCATATAGTACTAAAAAATTATTTAGGAAGTAAGAAAGTTAACAACTATGCAGCGGTTCATGTGAAGTTATTCTTGATTACATGACTTATGTTCCACTTGGGTCAACTTTCTTATTATTTTTTAAATAACTTTTTAGTATAAAAATTTTTGAACAAAAACTTTCATACGAAAACTATTCTAAAAAACCTTAAAGACCAAGTTTTATGGTTTACAGACCGCATGTAACCATTTCCAATTGGAATGCTTTACTGCTTTTCATATCTCCGCGAAGCGATCAGATTACAAAGAAATGATTGAGATGAAGTATACCATAATTTCTCTCATCTCATCAAAGGATCATCCTTAGACTTTAGTGGTTGTTTGGTAAAAGTAGGATTTAGTAAATATTGTAAATCTAAGGTTTGAAAAATCATGATGATAAATCTTCAAAATTATTTCATAAAATAGTTGTTAAATCCTATTATATAAAACTGTTTGGCAACGTAATATAGGATTTAAGCATGTTAGTTCATTTAAAAATTAAATTTAATGTGTTACAAATTTAATTACATGTTAAGTATAAGTTACTTATTAATGTTAGTTTTAATTATAGTTAACAAATTAGAATGATAAATAATTTAATTAGAAAAAGCTTAATTATTAAATAATTTAATTACTAATTATAGTGTTATTTATTAAATTAGTTGTTTATGTGTTAATTTAATAAGAATTTGATATCTAATTATATTAATATAGTTATTTTTTTAAATAACTAATTATTTAACTAATACTCCTACTAATAATTTAATTAATTTTGAAGTATTATTTAATT